AAATTGTGCCATGTTTGTTTCCGTCTATTGGGTCTCCATGTTCCCAAGTTGGATCACATTTAGTAACTCCACTGGACATCTTAAACGTACCTATATTTATTTTTCATGAAAATTAGACAATTATTTTTTGATAAAATAAGAGAACCTAAATAATAAAGTTATTCTATAGAAGAATTAAATACGAAGTAAAGAAAATGATTGTAAAAATTATTATACAAATAATATGGAATAATAAAACCTAATATTAATGAATAATAATCCAATTTGATAAAAAAAATAATCCTAATATAAAACATGGTGATGAATAATAATCCAATTTGATAATAATCCAATTTAATGAATAATAATCCAAATAAAAAAAACCTAATATTTGACACACCCTGTCCCGAATGAGGGCATGCTGGCCGTCACGTGAGAGTGACGTAACCATTTACACAGTTCGGAAGCTTTTAAAATACAATTACTAAAATGGAAACCCCCGAGGGTGAATCCTACTTTTGTGAATTCTGTCAGAACGCCGCTGGGTTCCTCGTGGCCACCAAAGCTCTGCTAACTAGAACCTGAAGGGGCGAAAAACAAAATTGAGTGGGTCAGTAAAACCAAAGCTTTTCAAAACATTTCGCCAAAAATAATTCTAACCCCTCTCTGTAAAACCTGTATACTTTTCCCAGAAAATAACATAATAGTATATAACAAAAAATCCTCATATCTCAAATCATCAATCTGTATCAAAATCCAGAAATCATGCCATGCCATAAAGTCAAAACAGAATATGGATGCATCAATATAACAGGTGAAATAATAAATCAATCGGAGACCCTACAAGGGTCCTGTACGGCTGATTCTAAAGCTCAACATCCCACTCAGCCGGAGTCACCACAGTGACCTATACGGCCCTGCCGGAGTCACCAACTATGACCTGTACGGCACTACACTGCACATCACTCGGAACTACGTATAGTAGTTTGTACGATGAAAGGTGTATAAATACGCTATAGTGCTTCTCTGATCAATCATCAGCGCGCATAACTAAGGTCACCCACTAGTCGGAATCACATCTGGTGATCTATACGACTAGCATGTCGGAACCCTCACATGGTCTGTACGACATCCACCTACTTGGATCCAAGACGAGCGTGCGGTGTGGTGAATAATAATATAAGCACTAACACCTAGGGTGCAGGTTATGAGCTTTCAATGCAATTTTCATAAATAAATCATATGAATAATGTAAAAACTCACATGTGCGTCCACAGCGTCAATTCACATATATATGTATCAATTATTAATTCAAATATCTCATCAATTGCATGCATGGCATTTAAAAACATATTTTCATTAAAACTCAATTTCTGGGAAATTCAATAGCATATAGGTATAAATAGAAAATACTGCCCACTCACCTGGAGTTCGCCCTACAACTCCCTAGCACAATATGCCAAGACGTCATGACGATCGGCGCCTAAAACAATAATCAAATCCAACCTCAGAATTCATATCGATAGAATATATAACTTATATAAAATACGTCACTACGTAGTTCGATCGGGAAGATCTGCCACTCAGATTTTAAATCCATAACTTCCAGAGGTCCACAATATATCTCTAGGACCACATCCTAAAATTTCATTACCATCCAACGGTCGGATCTTCGTCAATTTCCAAAACCAAGTGACGGTTAACATTCTATTTTATGAACTTACAACTCCAATTCCCGAAGATCCGTATCTCGGATTCCCAATCCGTAAGTTCCTATAATCATCAAATATTATGTATTACAACGTATCAAAGTTTGGTGACGATCCAACGGTCGGATCGTCAATTCACATTTTCACCTATATGCGAAATAATTATAAAACGTTATTTAAAGCACTAACCAACAATTCTTAATAACTTCTCATACGGTGCTCAAATTGGGGATATGAATATACCACAGTGATCTACACAACCTCAGGATCATCCCCAAATTTTTAAAATAATTTTTGGACTGTTCACGCGCCCCCACGCGCCGACACACGCACGGCCAGACGCGCCCCCACGCGCGGCCACGTGCACTGCACACTGACGGCGTCAGTTAACGCCGTCAGGTATATTCCGGGAATATTCCGTTTGTCCTTTAATAAAACTTAACGGCGTAACTTAACGCCGTTAGAATATTCCGTTTAACTTAACGGAATATTCCTCTTTCTTCTTCCTTCAGCTCCGGCGACCGTCGCCGTCGCCGGAAATTGGGTAAATTTTCTAAGTTCAATTTCTCACTCGATTTTCACGATCCCGACGTCCAATTTCTTCCAACGAACCACTCCAAGCCTCCTTGTGACCTCCTTAAACTCCCTATGAGCTTAGATTTCCTTAAAACACAACATTTTACGTTTGCATGAATAGTGTTCAAAATCGGAGTTGTGATTTCGACGTGAAATCGAAAGATTTCTTACCTAAAATGGGTGTGGTTGAGTTCGTATAGTCCTCACGAGCACGATGGTACCTTCACAATCTTCGATCCGTGGAGTTTTGGAGTTCTTGGCCCTTGTCCGTACCTTCGAGGGTGAGAGAGAGAGGAAGTCGAAGGGGAGGAGAGAGAGACACGGGGGAAAGAGAGAGGGATGAGGTGTATGTGTGTGGTCCAACCACAATCCAAAATCTATTTCTTACCACACAAAACACAAACCAAAATTTAATCTACATAAATATAATTTCCAAAAGTTTATGAAATGTGTGCATTTAGTCCAAAATATATCACACACACACATACCTTAGTCACGTTAAGGTCATTTCCGTCATTTCACATTCCCGATATAGAAATCCCGGGACGCGCTGTGACAATATTAATGAATAATAATTCAATTTGATAATAAAACCTAATATTAATGAATAATAATCCAATTTGATAAAAAAATAATCCTAATATAAAACATGGTGATGAATAATAATCCAATTTGATAATAATCCAATTTAATGAATAATAATCCAATTTGATAAAAAAAAACCTAATATTAATGAAAAATAATCCAATTTGATAATAAAACCTAATATTAATGAATAATAATCCAATTTGATAATAATCCAATTTAATGAATAATCCAATTTAATGAATAATAATCCAATTTGATAATAAAAAAAACCTAATATTAATGAATAATAATCCAATTTGATAATAAAACCTAATATTAATAAAATAATAAATAACATTAAACATATTAAAATTATCCTAGGGAATAATTATACAACATTATTTAATTACTTAAAAAAATTAACATGTAATTGTTAACATTACTTAATTACTTTCAAAAAGTAACATGCAAGTATTAATTACTTAAAAAAATTAACATACGAGTCCACACAAATTTATTTGTTGTTGTATAAATTAGAATAATATAAATATAAGTTTGTAAACTTACCTTAAATATGGAACCCTTTGTGTTCAAGCTTTGGAATGGATCTGGAATGGCTTTGAAAGGGGTAAACGAAGAAGAAGAAACGAAAATCCTTTGAATGGCTCTGATACTCCACCTTTAAGAATGTGAAAGAATAGAATAATTATACAACATTACTTAATTACTTAAAAAAATTAACATGTAATTGTTAACATTACTTAATTACTTACAAAACTTAACATGCAAGTATTAATTACTTAAAAAAATTAACATACGAGTCCACACAAATTTATTTGTTGTTGTATAAATTACAATAATATAAATATAAGTTTGTAAACTTACCTTAAATATGGAACCCTTTGCGTTCAAGCTTTGGAATGGATGTGGAATGGCTTCGAAATTGGTAAGGGAAGAAGAAGAAACGAAAATGCTTTGAATGCCTCTGATACTCCACCTCTGATAAGGTGAAAGAATATAACAGACAATGGTACACTGTTTTGCATGTGAAAGAATATCACGGACTCACAGTGGGCCACTGTCAGTGGCACACGGTTTCATTATGAGAGCACTATTATTTGTTGTCCATGGTCTGAAATTGCAAAAAGTTATTGACATACTGTAAAATCAGTCAGGTGAGTCAGATGAGATGACCCAACCACACACACACACAAACAGGCCACCACACACACACACAACACACGCACACTCACCTCACACGCATACAGTCTCTCTCTCAGTCTCTCGAACCTTCTCTCTTCTCTGACTCTGAGCTCCCTTCTCCCCCTTCTCCATTCTCCCACACACACAGATCTCTCACTCCCACACACACAAATCTCACACACACACGCACAGAGACCCAAGGTCTCTCGATCCTTCTCCCACACACACGCATAGAGACCCACATCGGCTTCTGCTTCTCCCTCGTCGCCGCCGTCTCTCTCCTTTCTCTCTGCACCGAGGGTCCGAGACCCACATACACACATGCACACCCATCATCATCAGCAACCTCGTCTTTCTCCCTCTCATTCTCGTCTCTGCAACTTGGCGAACGCAGGAACTCCGGCGAGTTTCTTGAATGTCTCCGGTTCGGTAAGCTTCGGGTTTGCCTCTTTCTGTTCTAGATTGAACCTTATATGTGAAATTTAAGTTCAAAATCGTGTTTTTGCAAGGTTTTTTGGACGAAATCGACTCAGGAATAGGCACACCCATCTCCGGCGAGGCCGTGGGTGTCGACAAACTTTCCGAACACCTCCGATCGTTTCACAGCAAACGAAATATATAAAAACGTTCATCTCGTCTTCTATTTCATTTTCATACCTAGATCGGAGTCTAGGGTCCTGTTTTACAGTCGGCCGGAGCTGTAGAAGCTCCGGCGTTCTTCTCTGAGTAGCCCAGTTCCGATATTATCGATAATTTCGAAAAAATCGCAAGATTATCGATATATTATCACGAAAACCATTTGGATAGTTAAAAAAATATCGGTTCCCGTAAAAACCGATAATATCGGCGATTTTGTACAATGCCGGGGACTAATGATCAAATTAGAACAATAATAAAAGTACAAAAAAATTGATGGACTGGTTTGTAAATAAATATAAATTTATATAGAGAGAGAGCGTCGTGGAGGCAGCGTGTTGAGAACAAGGCGTGCTTTCCGCTGCGAAATAAAAAGTGAGAGAGAGAGAGAGAATTCACGGCGATTTGGCCGAAGAAGCAAGAGTCTGAAGGCATCTGGCATTTGAATTTGTTTCATACGGCGGAGAAGTTTGTGGTTACTCGCTTACTGTTTCATCGATACATTCGTCGCTAAAACACGCACAGAATCTCTGAGATTTTTCTTTCCCTTTAAAGGACAACAAGAGTTGCTTCCCTCTGTCTCGACGAAATCAGAGCGATGGAGTGGACTGCTTGCCTCGGCGAATATGAGAAGCTTGTCTTCCGGATGAACACTCCCAGGTACTTACATCATTTCTTCAAACATTGGGTTTTTCTGGGTTTTATTCTATGTTTCCGGTCCATCGCCACTGTGATCTCCAATTTTCTCGAGAAAATTTTCACCACTCATTCAACATTTTGGGTCTTTTGGTTTCTGGGTTTGGATGTTTTTATCCTTTTTTTTTTTGGGTATTATGGATTTTCTGGCTTTCAAAAATTTTCATTACCGCTGTGATCTCGAATTTTCTCGAGAGAATTTTCAACGATCCAAATCTCTTCTCGATTTTTCCCATCTGACCCATTTTTCACTCCACATTTATTTTCTCTCCTAAATTCCATGGTTTTATTTTAATATTTTTTTTGAATTTTCTGGGTTTTTCTTACAATTTCTCGTACATACTTGATGCTTCCTCACTTTGAAATTTAAAAACTCGGGGAAATAAAAATAGAAAACAATTAAATGAAAAAGGTATGGCGGTGGTGCTTCTCTGACTTGACCATTTTTCACGCTTTCGGTTTGTAGGGTCGTGATCGACAATGCCGTCTGCTCCACTGCGACTTTAGTCAAGGTTTGCTTCTCCGAAAAACCATAATTTTGTAATTTCTTCCTTCCAAAAACCCCAAAAGAAGGTTTGAATTCTTCCACAAAGTTTGACTAATGGGGTTTTTTTTGTTTTTGGGTCCGCAGGTTGACAGTGCGAGAAGGCATGGAATTCTTCTGGAGGCTGTTCAGGTCCTCACGGATCTTAACCTCTCCATTAAAAAAGCTTACATTTCTTCTGATGGTCGCTGGTTCATGGATGGTACGAATATCTTCAATTTTTTCCTTTTCGTTTTTTGGTATTTATTTTTGAATTATTTTTCTTAATATGGTTTCTGTTTTTACTGCAGTTTTTCATGTAACTGATCAGAACGGGAATAAATTAACAGACGAGAGCGTTATTAACTATATTGAGCAGGTTAATAAATCATTCATTTAATTCTAGTTTAATCCCCTTTTTTTACTAGTGAGATTCATTTTCAATTGAAACTGAAATTGTTTAATTTCTTGTGTTTGGCAGTCACTTGGGACAATTCATTTTGGTTCATCCAACTGTAGTAACGGTCTTACGGCCCTTGAGCTCACCGGGACAGACCGAGTAGGCCTTCTTTCCGAGGTGTTTGCGGTGCTAGCTGACCTGCAATGCAATGTGGTTGAGTCCAAGGTGTGGACGCACAATGGCCGAATTGCTTCATTGATTTATGTTAAGGATTGTGATTCTGGTTGCCCGATTGAGGACTCACAGAAAATTGATAGGATTGAAGCGCGGTTAAGGAATGTCCTTAAAGGGGACAATGATATTCGAAGTGCGAAAACCTCTGTTTCAATGGCAGTTACACACACCGAAAGAAGACTGCATCAAATGATGTTTGTAGATCGCGATTATGACAGAAAGCCCGTTTTACAGCATTGCACCAATTCTCCGGTCATATCGGTGCAGAATTGGGCTGAAAGGGGTTATTCCATAGTGAATATTCAGTGCAAAGATAGGGCAAAGCTTTTGTTCGATGTTGTTTGCACGTTGACAGACATGGACTACGTGGTTTTTCATGCCACTATTAATACATCAGGGGACAGAGGATACATGGTATGCACTTATTTTCCTAATAATCTGGTTTATTGCATGTGTGTTATTATTATATTGAAGCATGAGATTGCTTGTGTTTTGTGGTTGAATTATGTTTCAGGAATTTTACATTAGGCACACTGATGGAACCCCAATTAGCTCTGAACCCGAACAACAGCGTGTAATCCAATGCTTACAAGCCGCAGTTCAAAGAAGAGCATCTGAGGTATTGCTCATTTTTCAGTTCCTCTTCAATCAAATTGTTTATCATGTCATTTTGTTATTGTTCCATGATGTTGCAAATGCATTAGTTAAATTGGGTTTTGTTGTATTTCAGGGTGTGAGGCTAGAACTATGCACCGAGGATAGACAAGGTCTTCTAGCTTATGTTACAAGGACATTCCGCGAGAACGGTCTAAACGTGACAAGGGCTGAGATATCCACGACAACGGACAAGGCGCTAAACGTATTCTACGTGACGGATGCAATGGGAAACCTTGCAGATGCGAAAACCATAGAATCAGTGAGACAGAAAATCGGGTTGAGTAACTTGAAAGTGAAGGAACTTCCATTGATTTACCATCAAAAGAGGGAAAGGGAGGAGCAGCAAGGAGTTGGTGGGGCAGTTTTGTTATCACTTGGGAGCCTAGTGAGAAGGAATCTGTACAATTTGGGGCTCATCAGATCTCATTCTTGAGGAGGAAGTTTCCAATTTGGTGGGTAGAAGTTTTTATCATGTTACTCTTTGCTTAAGGCTTGAGGAGGAAGTTTCCAATTTGGTGGGTAGAAGTTTTTATCATGTTACTCTTTGCTTAGGGTTTGGGCATTGTACACAGAGAGAGAGAGAGAGAGAGAGAGAGAGAGAGGAGTTTGGCGACAGTAGTTGGACATTGTAGGTGGGCTTGGTTTTTTTGTAGTCGGCAGAATTGAAAGGCCGGAGGGGTGGGGCCCACCATTTTAAAATGCATTTGTTTGAATTTTGGAGAGGGAAAAACAAATGAGAAAGTAAAAAGAAAAGGCAGTGATAGTGAATTCGTGTTGTGGAAGTGATGTTTTAGAGGAGACAGGGACTTAGAGAGATTAGGTAAAAAAGAAAATTAGAGTTTGGGGAATATACAGCAAAACAAGGCACCAAACATTTGTACAGAAGACTGTTTCTAAAGTATTTAGCTTTTTAATGGTTGACTTGATTTTTTGAATGAAACATTACTTTATCTTTAGTGTTTAATATTAGTGTAGGCTAGGAGGCCTTTTTGTTTTCACATTGTTTGGAATGGTGGAAGAATCTAATCCCCCTTTTGATTAGTATGATGAAATGAGCACATGAAGCCCCGTCTAAACAGGACTAACCATAATAGCCTTTTTAACCGTGTTTGAAATTTCCTTGATATTTCCGTGAAAGTATCTTAAAAATCTGAAAAAGATATGAAAATAGGAGCTGGAGTTTAACCTCATATCGAAGAAACTCTTAAGTTTAGGTTAAAATCGACATATTTTTTTTTATATTTCTGACTTATCAATTCAATATCGAAGAAACTTTAATATTTGTTCAAACTAGTGTTAGACATTTCCAAAAGTTTCATTTCTAATTTTTATATTTTTCATCAAAAACAACCGATATCGATATTCGATATATCTGTCGATATTTTTACAAATTTGTACATCAATATTTCTATGAATACCGATAGTTTAACATTGTTGATAATATCCAACTTTCAAATAATTGCTATGTACAAATGTGCGGCTGATAGCTATTTAGACAAGTCAATCAAGGTAATGTGGTTTTCTTTGTCCCTTAAATCTAAACTCACTTATTAAAATTGGACTAATTTAGAGTGTACGTCGTATCATAAAAGTTCATATTCCATGTGTTATTTTATCAACTGATCAAAATTGGTATAAAAATGCCACTAATTTTGGCCACATATAAATAGTTGCATGGCAAAAATTTTATGAAGGGTGAAGAACAATTCAAACACAACAGACACTTATAGTCATCGTATTGTTAATGGACAAGATGGATATATAGTCATCGTATTGTTAATGGACCCGGTTTGTCTGCCCTCCCACTTCTCATAGGACCCATACACTCTCATCTCTTCTTATTTTGTGCGATCACGGTTAAGCCACGTCAACATTTTATATTGATTTTTTTTATAGAAATAATAAGAAAAAAATAATAGTAATATAAAATATTAACGTAGTTTAACCGTGACCGCATAAATAAGAGATGATGAGAATGTATGTAAAGTGGGAGAGCAAAGAAGTCAGGTCCATTGTTAATATCTTTAGCGTGTCTTCACTCTTTTCACACGCGCAGAAATAAAAAATGTGATTAGTCTTTTTATTTGATAATTTCAAATTAATTAAATTAGTAATTCCAAGGAGCTTTGGTTCCAATGGACCAATAGGTATTAAACAAAAAATAAGCTAATTATTATTAGAGATAATATTTATCAACTAGTTGAGAGACAAATTGGATATGAAGGTAGTCAAGAAAGAAAAAGAGAAGAAATTAAAACGATTAAATAATTAATTAATTAAGTGCTAATCGTGGTTTATGTCTCCAAGGCAAACACCACGACTCCCGACAATTAATCGAACAATCTGCTAGTACCAGCTTTGTCTCCATCTTGCCTCTCTTGGGAAGTTCTAAATTACTTCTTTAAACGTATGGATAATACTCGGGTCCTCACCGGGGAGGACCCAATATACTGAAATTACCTTTGGTCCAATCAAATAAAGCCATGTGTCATTTAAAGCTCCTAAACCTATAACCAAACAACAATTCTAAGATTGCTTCTGTAACCAAATAACCAGTCTCTGTCCTCTGTCCTCCTCAGGCCATGCCGCAGATCCCATTGCATCAAATCCAAGGAAGAAAATATCGGTAATATCGGAAATATCGGTAGTCCGAAAACACGGAAATATCGATGGAAATATCGGGATAATATCGATATCGATAAAAATTACATGGAAACCACGGAAATTGTAAGAAAAACTTGGAAATTTTTATTGAAACTTTGCAGGATGTTTATTTAGTCAATTATCTATTAGTTTATCACAAAAAATTAGAATGAAATGCATTGCATGATGAATTTAACTGATTTAAGTTGATTATATAGCGAGCTGTCAAATATTGTGAGTGTAGAAAATATGTAGTAATTAATGAAAGAAATTTAAACACACCATAATCATTTATATATAATGAATTAGTACAATATTTTACACTTTATACATTGCATGGTAAGATACATGAGTGACTAAGTACCACATAGAGTTCCTATGAGGTTCAAAATTTTCACTATCTTCATCATCTCTATGTGTAGAGTAAGTGTATTGTGAAGAGTAGTCAGCAACCATGACAATGACTTTCAAGAACCGAAACCCAAAAGTCAATAGGAAACCGAATACTTCGGTATTTTTCGGGATTTCGGGATTACCAAACAAATGGGATTTGGAAACCAATCCCATATCGAAAATTTCGGTATTTTTCGGGATGGTTTTGGTTTGGGACTTTTTCGGTTTGGTTTGGGATTTTTGAGAATTTTTTCCAACCATACATGTAAGTGACCAAATAAAAAATAGAAAAATTAAAAACCACATGCCATTGACTAAGTAATTAATTGACACAATTTAAAATATAATAGCACAAAAAATTTGGAATATGTGCAAATTTGTTTCTTGCAAAAAGAATTCAAAACAAAACCATATATATAAATAGTTTAGCATGTTTTCACAAAAACGTAAGTGGTATAGTGGTCAAGGTGCTGAAGGAGTTAGATGGGAGGAGTTCGAATCCCTTTATGTGCATGTTTGAGACTTTTCAGAAATTTTCAAATATTTTTAGGTTCATCTCGCGATATTATCTATAATATCGCGATACTATCGATATTTTCGCGATATTATAGCGATAATTAAAGAAATACTCGCGAAATATCGTTATATGAAAAAAACGATAATATCGATATTTTCATCTATGATCAAATCCAACCCAAATTTGTTAGGAATGGTTTTTATTTTTTTGCACCTCTTGTATTTTGAGGGTTTTATTTTAAATAAGAAAGGAGTTTGTTTTGTAAGTGAGTGAGTTAGCTAGTTGTTGAGTTGGCATTTCCCATTGGGATGCTTTAAATGGAGCAATAGCCTCAGTGCTCTCACAACGGTTATTAGGAGAATATACTAAAAACATACCACACGAGTTTTCTGCTCGTCTTCTTCCTTCCTCCAATCCCTTTCTCTATCTCCATTGCTGCAATTGCTTGGTTGATGCAGGTTTGTATCATTGGTATCATCCAATTTTCGATCCTGGTTTCCTTCTTTGCATGCCCCGCCCGAATCCAAACACTCGCCTCTCTCTGATGGATGGTCGGATTGCAGCTTTGGAATCTTCGATCGCCGCTCTCTCCGATTCTCTAGGGACAAAATTGGCCTTTTTTCAAACAATTTTGTTGCGAACAAGCGTGTGCTAGAGGCGTCAGAGATGTTCCCTCTGAATCTGACCCTGTTCCGCCAATGATTCTTACCGATCTTCTCGATACCGGTGACATCAACCCCAATCGCACTCATCATCGTAAGCTCCTTGAAGGTGGCGGTTCCAATTTACGTCACCAGTGGCAACCTCGAATTGAGTTTCCCATATTCATTCTTGGCGAAGATCCACTGGCTTGGATTTACAAATCTGAGTAATTCTTTGTGTACTACTCCACCGCTAAGCACCAAAAGGTTGTCACCGTCTCATTCCATTTGGACAAGCAGGCACTCCAGTGGTTCCGTTGGCACGATTGTCTCCAAAGTATTCCTCGCTGGGAGGACTTCACCCGTGCCTTTTGTCGCAAATTTAGCCTCTCTGAGTTTGAAGGTAGTGCAAATGCACTCTTCAAACTGAGATAATAAGGTACCCTCCGTGCCTATATTACTGAGTTTCTAAGATTAGCTAATAGAACTCAAGATTTAGGACCTATTCTTCTTAAGAGTTGTTTTCTGGGAGGATTAAAGCGTGAACTTAAGTATGATGTTAAACTGTTATGCCCTTCTACTGTGCATAAAGTTATCTTTATTGCCTTGCAAATTGACCCGAAATTGGCTGATCTCAAACCTGGGTACCCTAAGTCTCTTCCCCAGGTGCGTGCACCAACCACCAACACTACTCTAAATGTTACCCCTGCTAGAACACCCAATTTTCCTATGAAGCATCTCTCTCCCGAAGAGATTCAACGCAAACGTGACCATGGAGATTGTTGGTTTTGCGATGAGAAGTGGAGTAGGGGGCATAAGTGTTCTAACAAGTAGCTTTTAATGCTTGATTTGACTCCTTGTGAGTATGTCATTGATGCTCAGTCATTGAAAGAACCTCCTCAACCTTCCCTAGAATTTCAACAGATGGAACTTAATGAATGTGCTTTTTATGGCACTCTCGCTAAGAACAATATGCAAACAATGAAGGTCACTAGGATAGTGAATGGACAAACCATGAAAATCCTTCGGAATTATGGCAATACATATAACTTTGTGGACTCCAAATTGCTCAAACGATTTTCTTGGCACACTCAACCTACCAAACCCTTTAAAGTTATGATTGCAGGTGATGGAAGGGTTAATAGCTCAGGTTGTTGCATGGGGGCTGCTCTATCTGTCAGGGGTTACAATTATTTTATGGACCTATACTCTCTGCCATTGTGTGGGTGTGATATTGTTCTAGGGGTCCATTGGTTGTCATCCATTAGCCCAGTTTTGTGGGATTTCCAACTGTTAATTATGGAATTCTCCAAGAATGGATTCAAGTACAAGCTCCATCACTGTGATACTCATGCTTCCAACAATAATCTTTGCCCTTTAAATTAAACTATATTAGTTTAACATGTGAAATGTCCATAAAGTATCATCATATGATTGGTTTTAAGGCACATTTCCAACAATTTCCCACTTGTACTAGAGCCAATCAACTTGGTCATCAATGATGATACCTCTTCTGTAGTCATTTCAAAAAAGGAAAACTAATGAAAAGGGCTTGAAAATTTTGAGTTTTAATGATAAGGACAAAATAAAGGGTAAAGTGAATAGTACCAGGATTGACTTTTAGTGTAAAAATGTGGTTTTTCGTTAAAGTGAACAGTACCAGGTGCTTTTCGTTAAAGTTCCCTTTCAAAAATGGCTGAGTAGTAGGCCTAGACAATGGATATCTATATGTTATCCATAGAAGCAACCTTGAGAATAACGA